GAGTGCCCCCCCCCCCCCCCCTGGAGATGAGCTTTAAATGATCACACACCAAAAACGGGACAATAGAAGACATGAAAAAGGAAGATAAATAATAGGGGATGGAAAGAGTGATGGAATATTTGCAATATACAAGGATGAGGGAGAAATGTAGGGAATATAAATATGAAAACGTTTTAAACAAGTAATATTTAAAAAAGGCGAAATTTATTCCTCAATGTCTGGTGTTTTAAATAGTTATAGATGGTTTTAAATATTTATGGAAAAGTTTTATTCTGTAGGGTTAGACATAGAGTGATGATGATGTATGTAATCTTTCATTATGTTGAGTGGAATTAGAAAATCCTCTGAAACAGCTAATTAAAAAATGATGTAAGCTAATCAAGACATTATATGTCATTAACACTGTTTTTATAAAAAGATCACTCCATCGTATGAAGGAGTACAGTCTAACATAACTTCAGCCAGCATTCCAAACACACAAATATATTTTGTTTCCTAATCAAGAAAGTCTTCATCATGTTCTGCAATGCTGCATGGAATACGTGCTGAAGAGTTTGCAGCAAACTGAGTACTCACTTTCAGCTTAGGATGTTTATTTGATAATTCTGTGGGAAACTAATATATTTACTAGCTTTTTTATTTAGAAAGTATGTTTGTGTGCTGAAGTACTCTAAGCAATAGGTAAACTAAGAATGAACAGGCTGCATGTATTCTTATCCTAGAGTGGCTTACTTCTGCCCATAGACTGCAAAGTCTTTGTGCATATGAGCCAGCTGATGACTGTGTGTAAGCACTTGTGAAACAGACACTGATAATATAGCAATATTGCTAACCCTTGGTGATCTTCTGAGAGTGTCTTTTTGTTATTATTCCACCACATAAGTGATTGCATCACCTGTTCTATATAACACTATATACGTCTGCATTTTGCAAACCCAACAGTCTGAATTGTTCATTGAAATTCTGTATATCATCATAACTTTAACCAAAACTCTTTTTTTTTTTGGATTGGCTAGAGTGGGAAAGAGTTAGAACCTCCTCAAATGTTTTTTTTATCTGTATTTTCTTTGGGAAGATTTTGTTTCATGTCCTTTACCATAGACAAGACAGGAAATAGGACAATCTCTAGAAATTAGGGGAAAGTCCCACCTTTGATTGTTATAACCGAAACAAGGATACTCATTGGGAGATTTCTACAAATACCTTGTTTTGGTGATAAATGTCAAAATTTAGATTTCTGTTTACTTTGTATCTCCTTGACAACTGTCACCTGTTATTGTGGCAAGGGTGAATGTTCCCTTTGGGGATAATAATAATTGTGACCCTTCCCTGCGGTGTCCAAAAGTAGAAAGAAAAATGGTTGTAGTTCCAATCGCATCATTTTAGGTTTGAGGTTGAAGACTTTAAGTTTAGGAAAATTAAAATTTGTGTCTTAAATGTGAATTAATGGCCTTTAACGCATTCTTATATATATTCTTTATAAAAATGTTTCACAGTTATATTTCTCTTTTTTAGGTTCCCTAACAAATCTCACTTTTGCTATTGGCATAGCGATATATGCCTTGTTGGGTTATTACATTCGAGACTGGAGACGACTTGCATTTGTGGCCAACACGCCCGGTGTTTTCTTTTTTCTTCTTTCTTTGTAAGTTACATTGTTACATGCTTTTATTTTACATTGTTTAATAGGGTTGATACAAATAATGTCTATCTAGTTCAACATCTGACAGCTATGACAGTTTTGGTACAGAGGAAGAAAACCTTCAAGGATCACTGTTGCCAATTTTGCTACACAAGAACACAAATTCCTTTAAATCAAAATATTGCTCTAATAGTTTATCGTAGCAATACTTTAGGTCGATTGCAAGTCGGCTCCCTGTCCCAAGCTCTCTCCCCTGGTGCTAGTGCGGCCGAATGTCTTGGATGCAGGGAGAAGCGTCCTGCACCTCCCCGCCTGCTGCATCCAACACATTTTGGCCGCACTAGCACCACGGGAGGACAGGCCAAGACACACAGGTATTCGGCTATTGTGGAGGTATGAGAGCAATAGACAATCATTTATTCATGGCGCAGCACTTGTTGGGCAATACAGTACAGGTTGAGTAAGACTTTGATTTGTTTCAGAAGAAAACCCACTGAGTTAGTATAATCGAATATTGATCAAGCATGATGGCCAGGAGAGACAGCCAGGAGGATGAGTGAGGCGAGACAGCCAGGAGGATGAGTGAGGCGAGACAGCCAGGAGGATGAGTGAGGCGAGACAGCTAGGATGATGAGTGAGGGGAGACAGCTAGGATGATGAGTGAGGGGAGACAGCCAAGGGAGAGAGAGAAGAGAGACAGCCAGGGGAGAGAGAGAAGAGAGACAGCCAGGGGAGAGAGAGAAGAGAGACAGCCAGGGGAGAGAGCGAAGAGAGACAGCCAGCGGAGAGAGCAAAGAAAGACGGCCAGGGGGAAGAGCGAGGAGGGACAGCCAGGGGGAAGAGCGAGGAGGGACAGCCCCGAGGAGGGGCAGAGAGGGGAGAGAGCGAGGAAGGACAGCCAGGGGAGAGAGCGGGGAGAGGCATCCTGGGGAGAAAGAGACGGGTACGTCCGTGGCTGCGAAGGGGTTAAAGAGACACTGTTACCTTATCCATTCAGGGCAAAGTGACACTGATACTCACCTTGCCGGTCACAGCTAGCACTAAAATCCCCGGTGTCACTTTAATGCTAGCCCTGCAACTGCTTATACTGCCTTTCCTTGCTGTCCCCTGTGGAAGTCAAGTGACTCAGCTGGTATTTCTGGCCATTGGGGAACATCTGACTTGCTTCCACACATGAAAATGCTGGGGATTGGCTGCTCAGACACTATGCTGTTGCTAGATGGTGTTGAGGAAGTCTACAGCTTTGTATAATCTTCATATCACAACTCTGAGTTTACACAGAACTTCTCCTCATCCCACTAATGCATATATTACCATGTGTTTTTAAAATGTGTTACTGTGAACTTTTTTCCATGTTTTTATAAAAAGCTGTAGTAAAGTTTTGAAAGAAATAGGCTTTTCTTCACCATAGTATAGGTACATTGTAATTGGTGTTTTCATGCTACAGTTTTTACCTTGATGCCCCTGTAAAATGAATAAAGAAATAATGGTGCAAAGACAGATTTTTCACCCCACTGCAATGCAGGTTGATGACATGAACAACCTGCATAGATATTGATTTATTTTAATTCCTTTTGCACTTTTTATGCTACTACTCTTGGCAAACATCTCCTCTATTGGCCTCCAGCAGCACCTGTATAAATGATAGTCGCATCTATTCTCCACCCCTGACCTTTCTCCCTCTGTTCCAAATATAATGTCAAATATTCTGTCCAGCATTTCTTAATGGATGTCTTAGAGGTACATAAAAATCAGCCATTATAAAACTAAGTGAATCATATACTCTCATCTGCCTTACAATCTGTTCTTGGACATATCTTACTGTAAATGGCGCTGTTACCGTACCTCACAAGTTCATTGCTTTTAACTCGACCTTTGCTTTTATGCCGTTTATTTAAAACATCTTTAAGTCCTGCAATTTTCACCTACCAGTCCAAATTGTGGCTCTTCCTAATTTGAGACCACCAGACACCTTGTCCATACCATAATAATCTCCCATCTTGAACGCTGCTACCCTCCAAGCCAGTAATCCAATAACAGGACTCTTGGCTCTACAATCTAGCATGAATGCTGCAGAAAAATGTATCTGTCCCTCCCGCCTCTCCTATCTGCATCTCTCTGCCAGTCCCTTCTTCAGCTTCCCATTAGCCTAAGAATAAAATCCAAGTCACTGCTCATCTTCCATCAAATTTTCTTTCTACTCACACTAATACTCCTTTAATTGCTGCTCTCCACTACTGACCTGCTAGTGTCCTCTCTGCATACATGTATGAGCAATAAAAACCTGACCAAGGTCTTCACTTTTGCCTACGCAACCTAAAATTAAAAAAGTTTGGATATTCTTCAAATGGTCCCTAAAAATTCACCTCTCCAATCACATGCAGTCAAGGTCTTCTTCCTTACCGTATGTGTCTGTGCCCCCTTTTCGATTGGAATTTTATATGAACAGGGTCTCCTCGTGGGTCATTTTTCTAGAGTCCAATGTGTGGCAATATCTGTTATGTTGGCACTTTTTTTTTAGGATAATTATTGAGTGAGTCCCAACTCTGTTCTGTCACTATGCACAGCATCTCTGTATTTCCTTCCCTCCAGTTCTCGCACATTAGCCCTATAGTTTAAGCACTGCTCAAATTGAACCCTCTATTTCAGTGCTCATTTAAATATTGTAACATCCAGACAAAAAATGTAGAGGCACTGTTGCAGAAAATGAAACATTTGTATAAATAATTGTACACAGGAAACAGCAATAACTGCCAAGTTAGCTGACAGCTGTTTCATTATTTTTTTTTGGTTAGTGCGGCTACTGTTTTTCCCTTCTGTTTTTTTTTTTTTTTTTTTTATGCAAATTGAAGGTGTATGTGTAAGGAAACGGTAACGATGGAACACCAATATTTCATGTTTTCCCTGACATTTTATTTATTCATGTTTTGAAAACATTTTATTTTTCTGTTTTCTTCCCCTCATGTGATGGAAAGTTTCCTCTGATCTGAGTTAATATAAATCAAGTGTATTCATTGATCCCTAAGGCAAGAGACATTGTTGTCTTGTCTTATCTGGCTGGTAATGTTAAACTGGCATTTTTCACTACGGAATGCAAGCTATTCCGCCGTCTTCACACCTGACTGTCAACACCTCAGTTCACCTATTTTCCTCAGAACATATCAAGGCGTATTCATTTAACGGTACAAAAAGCAAGTCTGGAATGCAGTAAGCAGAAAGTCAGCGCTAGACTCCGTGCTGCTCTAATCAAACCAGTAACAGACACATTTTGGTTGGTTGCTATTGGCTCCTTTCCTCTTTGCCTTATTGAATAAGTCTGATTTATATTTCTGTAAAATAGACATGCAGTGTTATGTAATATGGGTTGCAAGGCCAGCCTTCTTCCACACAGTTTGGCATTTCATTCTTTCTTTTACAAACTCATATAAGCTTATGGTGCAGGGCATTTTTCATTTTTAGTTCACTTGTATAGTAACTTATGTGTTCCACACAGTTTTACAGTACATTCCAATCTGTCTATGTCCTTTTAAAGCAAACCTTTACCCCCTTTCACTACAAATCACATCAGCAATACAACCCTGCATGCTGATATAAAATCATCTTACATTCATTTAGTTAAACAAACATACAGACATATATATTTTTTTATTTACTTACATATAGAGTTCATCGACTTCCTGGTCCACTGCTGGCACAAATGATCTAAAGTGCCAAAGCGTTGCATCCTGGGATGGTAACATTAGCAGAGCATTGCTGGGAAATCTCATCTGTAATCTCATGAGATCTCAGGGAAAGGCATTTTTCCTCTCATAAAGTGATGTGCATGGTCACATGTCCTAGTCACATGTGCCAGAGTAGAAGGAAGTAAAGGGAGATAAATTATTCTGCCCTTAGTAAAAATGTCAGAAGACTGGGAAAGAAAAGAAAAATAAAGAATGCAAAGAATAAAAAGCCCGGAATTATCTATAAGTATCTGTTTGTAGATTGTCATGATTAAACATTTCTAAAGGTGCCTTTTTGTTGTTATTTAAAAAATTTGGATAAAGTTCCACTTTAAGTGACCTTAGAGGCTGTGTACCTACAATAGTTTTATAGACGCACACTTTTTGTGTCAGTCTCTCCATTAGTACATATCTTTCCTCTTCTTCTCTGATGCTTTGTTCATCAGCTGGGAACAAAGGTAATATACCAAGTATTCACGGGTGTGGAGGAATTTGACATTCACCAACGTTGATACGTTGCCGGGGCTGGTGTTGTCACATAGCGGCAGGGAGAGAGTCTCGCACCTATGTAAATTCTGACTAGAATGACTCTGATCTTAGAAAGGACTTCCTTTCATTACTCTTGGTGGCTAAATGGTGCATTAGAGGGGTGCAGGAAAGGCGAGTATCTGCTGTTGGGGAGGGTGTCATTAGAGCTTACCTGTTGATTTGCCCTGGTCCATGGTGCGAATGAAACCCAGAACACCAGTTCAACTTGAGCACAGTACGAAAATAGCCCAGTGGCATAATTTTGGATAGGCTTTTATGAATGCCAAATGCCACTATGCTCTGTTGTCATTACTTGCTCTTAATGTAGACAATATCATTGGAATCTCCCATTCTATTGAGTCAGGAACAATGCTCATGCTTATTGTATATAGTAAAGGAGGGTAAGGTTAGCTTTAAACAAAGTGATGAGACTCATACCATTCTTGTTTTCACCTCTGGAAGTCAAAATCCCCCTCCATGGTTTGTTAGTCTTTCTGTATGATCTTTGTAACCTATAATCACTCTCTGGCTTCACCTGCATTTGATCTCAGTTTGTAAAACATGAAATAGGAGAAACCTAGGGTAGAACAGAGCTGCAATAAATCACACAGATATGCAGTGAGAAATTCTGTATACCTGGATGTCATCATCTACCCTTGAGCTACACATAATTTTAACACACGATTTAATAACATGCAGTGTTTTCTTCTGCTTTTACATGTGAAGAAAAGTGACATATGCTATTGTATTCTTAGTTTACTCCCTGAATCCCCAAGATGGTTATACTCCCATGGTCATACGGACAAAGCAGAAGAAGTACTGCGGCAGATAGCCCGTGGCAATGGGAAAGACGGTTCTGCAGTCAGATTAAAGAAATGTAACAGAACCCCAAGAAGCGGTGACTCAGCGCACAGTGTCTTTGATTTGGTGAAATATGGAGTGCTTTTCTGGAGAACGTTGCTTCTGATGTATATCTGGTATGTGTAAAATAACAGGAAAAGTTGTATTTGTGTGCTCTTTCTGTTTCTTGTTGCACATTAAAGTGAAGCTGTCTGTTTATGTTGTTATATACAAACAAGTGCAAAGTGAAGACCTAATGCGGCATGACCTTAATACATATACAAACATGACCCTAGGAATGAGATCCCTTGTCGACAAAGCCTACACAATCATAGGGGCAGTTACAATAGGTAAATGATAATAGCAGCAATGTGTTGCACATCCAGTCATTATGAGTTAACTGTATCTAAATCACTGAAAAATGTTTCTGTAGGGTTAGATTTAAAAAAACAAAACTTTCTTTAAATAAAAGCAACATTTTAGCCTTAAACTTCATTATTATCTGTTGGCACTAATACACTGTGACACACTTTGTAATGTTACTACTTCCTTCTGAATCAAGTATAGTATTTGCTTAGATATTGGCTCTTGTTGTAGATTGGCTTGCTCTAATATCCAAACCTGTAAGGTGCGCTCAGGGGCTCTCTAATATTGTACAGAAAGAAAAGCTGTGCTATAAACAACTAATCAACGATTGACTGTTAATGGCTTATTCTTGTCAGACAGCTGGAATATCATTTTTTGATAGTTTTCTGTGGGTTCTACACACATTGAGGGGAATTTATCAAAACTGTAGCAGACATAATTTGGAGCAGTTGCCTATGGCAACCAATCAAATTCTCCTTTATTTTCAAAGCTTAAGTGAACAAACTGATAATAGAAGCGGATTGGTTACTGTGGACAACTGCTCTAGATTCTGTCTGCTCCAGCTTTGATCAATTACCCCCATTGTCTTAAACAAAGTGACTTTGTGAATCAACTCACTGGGACCAGAAGCACTGAGAACTGTGTGCTTTCAACTGTGAAATTATGCCACAGTGTGTAAGGACCACAGGATCACGTTTGTACCGCCACGTCCAAGGTGATCATTACACTATAGAAACACTGTGTCATAATTCTTCTTTTGGTGGGAGACATTCAAGCCAGCCTGTGTCTGTATAGGCAGGTATGTATGCCAGAGAATGTATAGCAGGGCATGTCTTTGTTTCCTCTAATGAGCTGAATACTGATGTATGGTTTCCTATGTGTTATAATTCTCTGAAGGGTATTTCTAATGTGCTGAAACTTTGTTTTCCTCATTCATTAAGCTACATAAAAAGGTGTGCTAAGCCTACAGATTTTTTTTTTTTTTTAAATAGACATGTCACCAGTCTCAGCAGTGCAAATATTTTTAAATTATAATAGACCCAATCACTAAAATCGCATATAAAGTTATAACATGTAAATATAATTTCAAAATAACAGAATACCAGTGAATGCCTTATTATCCTCTAATCAGCTGAATACTGATGTATGGTTTTCTATGTGTTAAAAAATCTCAGAGCCCCAGGCATTAAGCTACATAAAAAGGTGTGCTGAGCCTAAAAGTATTCTTTAACCACTTCAAGACCAGGTGTTTAGACCCCCTTCCTGGCCAGGCCATTTTTCAGTATTCAGCACTGCGGTACTTTGACTGACGTTTATTCCGTCATGCAGCGCTGTACTGAAATGAATTTTATACCATTTTTTGGGGACAGATAGAGCTTTATTTCGGTGGTATTTAATCACCACTGGGGTTTTTATTTTTTACTATAATTAGGAAAAATTACAGAAAATTTGGGGATCAACATGTTAATATCATACACAGATATACAGTGTTTTTCCAAATGTCATTTTGTTAGCTGCCTCTTCTTTTAACGGAGTATGCTTTCTCATTTGTTAAATAACAATGCTCCTGATGAACTGAAAATATACTGGGGTGAATTTATCAAAATCTGGAGCAGCTGTGCATGATAACCATTCAGCTTCTCTCTTTAGTTTGTTAAGTTAAGATATGAAAATTAGGGATGTCCCGATGCCACTTTTTCAGGCCCAAGTACAAGTACATCCCCTCATGTACTTGCCGATACCAATTACCGATACTTTTTCTTAAAGGGACAGGTGACTTTAAATGATCCATAGTACAACTACATGTTATGTACTATGGATCATGGTTTAACCTATTCATGTTAGCAGTGGAGAATTGTAACTCTATTGCTGGAGTGTAGTGGAGGTGTGTGCTGTATATATGCACTACATATACATTACACACGTCCAGTACACTATAGCAATAGATTTACAGCCAGCCCCATCCCAGCTTCCCTTACTCACAGTTTCACTCCGATCCCCGTAGCCTCACGCGATGCCTCTTGTAGTCGGCGCTGGGCAGGATCGCTGCATCGCATCTCGGTGCTCAGCTTGTGGGAGGCGCTCACAATTCTGCCCTGCTAACATGAATAGGTTAAATCATGATCCATAATACATATACAGCACATACGTCCCGTACACTGCAGTAATAGAGTTACAATTATCCCCTGCTAACATGAATAGGTTAAATCATGATCCATAGTACATAACATGTAGTTGCACTAAGGATCATTTAACCTATTCATGTTAGCAAGTGATTATTGTAAATCTAATGCTGCAATGTACGGGACATTTGTGCTGTATATGTACAGCACAAATAGATAGTATAGATATACAATTCTCCACTGCTAACATGAATGGGTTAAATGATCCGTAGTACAGGGCTACATACAGATCATTTAATCCATTCATGGTATTATGTATTGTCTGCATTGTATTAGCAGTATATACTGTATACGTAATACATATACTGCTAATACAGTGCAGACAATACATAATACCATGAATGGATTAAATGATCTGTATGTAGCCCTGTACTACGGATCATTTAATCCATTCATGGTATTATGTATTGTCTGCACTGTATTAGCAGTATATACTGTATATGTAATACATATACTGCTAATACAGTGCAATCAATACATAATTGCTTAATAAATCCCCTCCCCAAATCTGCCCTCACTCACTGTGTCCAGGTGCCGGAGAGAGCGGGGACGAGTCAGCGGCAGTGCTGGACCAGTGGGAGGAGCTCCAGGTGGGGTCCTAATTTAGCTATTGATAAATTCCCGTCACTGTGTTTTCTCATTTTGTAAGCCACATAACAAGGTGTGCTTAGACTACAGGTATTCCTTTATGCAAGTCCTGTAAGCAGCTCCAAAGAAACACAAGTAATGTTTGACTTGCAAAGCAGACAGGCATAGGAAACCCGTCTTAACTCAATAGTGCTGCTAGATCCCTGTAATAAAGGTGAGCTTCTGGGGGTGGGTTGATATTTCAACCACCAAGCCACCCACCACCACAACCCTAAAATGACATTCTTAGTGCCCACCACCACATTCCTAAAATGCAGTTCTTAGTGCCCGGGTTGTGGTTTTGCTGGGGGTAGGTGTGTGTATCTACCCTTATTCATTTTTCAAGCAACTGAAGGTGATTCCAGTGGCACATCAGAGAGGCAGCAGAATTTGTTAAAATATATTTCCACTTTTGCAGTAAAATGTGAGAAAACCCTTGTTTTCAGAGTTTCTCGAAAAAGAGCAAGTAAGATGGTAAGCATCAATGTTTACATATTTAAAGTAATTCTATATAAAGCGGAACATGTAACAAATATAAAATAGATGGAATCCCAATTAGGCTGCAAAAGTAAAAATACATTTTAAGATATGCAGCACCAATCATTGCTTGTGTCTAATTGATTTGGTAACAGAATCAGTTTACATCCCGCCCGGCAAGTCCTCGCTCTCTTGGCCGCTCCTGCATAGTAGAGCCCCATAGGCTTCAATTGTCTACCTCTGTCTCCTGGCCAGGAGACGAGCCCCATAGACTTTTAGGTCTTAGGTTGTATTGCTCAGCTGCCGCCAGGAGAGTCTTGAGATGTGGAATGCAAACCATTGGAGGCTGCAGGCGACCAATTGATATAAGTATACAGAGGGGGAGTATGGGATCTGTAAGGTCATGGAAGGGAGCAAAAAAAATAAGTGCACTTTTTCTGAAAGTGCCCATATTCTTTAAAAATACAGCTGATATAATGTAGTGAATCGCTAGTTGTAATTCACAGTTGAAAAGCTCACTGACTAATAGAGCAAAAAAATGCTTGAAATTACCCTACTTGAAAAGCAAGTGGGGAGTTAGCTGGTGTTTATATTCAACCCCCAACCCACATATTTAGGATTACAATACATTTCACCTGCAGCATGATGTGCTTTACTTCTCCTGAGTTTCTGAATGAACTGCTAGATTCTTCAGCCCCCACTGAATGTTAACATTTGGCGACTGCTTAGAAGTTTTGGCCTTCACATTTCTGCCATACTCCCAAATTGATTTTGAGGCATGGAGTTGTGCAGTATGACCTTTTTAGGGGACATTTTGGGTGCTCTAGCTTTAGTATGGTGACCGGTTCCACACTGAATTACCTTTTTATGCATTAGATATTCTGGTAGGGAGAGTTCTTCAAACAATTGTTGCTGTCCTTGTTGGATTTGACTTGGAAATACAAGCATACAACAGGTCATGTTGCACAACATTGCTCAGCCTAAACCCAAGTGTGATTTTTTTTTTTTTTACTTGTTCCAGATGTTTGGTAGGTGCACTCTCTGTCCTGGAGATCATCTTTTACACTTTTAACTGATAAATACATTTTTGTTTGTCTTCACTGTGAAAAAAAAACCTTTGCGCCTTTAATATATCCAGGCAAATTCGGTTTGCAGGGGTAACATTTATCATTTTGACCTCCCTATCTCTAGACTGGCTCACAAATCGCCAACAGGGATGAGCAAAGCTGCACTTACTCTTGTAGTATGCACTCTGATTTATGACATTTCAATAACTTTGTTTCCTTATTCAGGATTTACAGTAACTCTGGTTCTAACTGGCTTGTCCAATGGACATAAAAGCTTTACATCAAACAAAACTATCTGCACTTGTCGGTATCGGGTCTCCTGCGCCTCTCTAACTGTAAAATTGTCTGCCTTCTGTCTTAGTTAACAAATTTACTTTTTTTTTTCTTCTAAAAGCATTTAATTGTTCTGGCAAGTAG